CCAGACTGCCTATAGACAAATTACGCAACGGGGTCTACTAGTGTCTACTAAGCTTAAGGATTAATACTCTGAACTACCCGTTAAACAAATCAAGTAATTGGTGTAAATACTGACACAATCAAACACTTCTATTAGGTATATCAGCAGGTGATAAAAATATCAATAGCTATAGTCAATTATTTTTTGAAATTCAATAAAGATGTTACAGTTATTCTTCAGACTTTCGGCATATTTGTTGTTTTCTCAGTTTGCGAATCGGTGTTGATCGCATGTAAAAATGTTGGAAATCTTTGGAAAAAACTATATATATTAGATCGTAATTACTTTGATAATGTATTTTTCTACGAAACAAGAACAGGGGTACAGGGCTATACTCGAACATATATTCATGTGTAGTGCAGAAGCTCTGTGACTTAAGGAATTCCAATATAGCAACATACCTGTAAATGGAAACATACGCGGGAAGAAATGCGGGACGTGTGGTATTGACTTTGAGCTTCGATCGACGCATTTTCTGGACAGGCTACACGCACCGCTAAGCAAATCTGATAAATGTATTATATTTCCAATGTAGGCGTTCATCTAACATAATAGTCTAATCATATTAGCAAACTTTTCCGAAATAATTGTAAAGTCCGGTTTTATTGCTGCAAGTTGTTCAAGGGCGCATTTTAAACATGGACGCATAAAATGGTTACACCAATTTTTGTGTGGAAAAACTTTTTATTTGACAAAGAATGACAAAACGGATTTTTGGGGATTCAATCGAAAGTGTTGACAGGAACGAAAAAACTTTTTATGTACGATTTTTAGGTATTTATGAGACCTACAGAATGAGACCACGTGAAAAGATCCGACTAATAGCAACATTGTTATGGCCGGAAAACCAGGCAAAATGCAGGTTTTGGCACTTGTTGGTAATGCGACGATAATTTTACGCAACTACTTGAAATTGTTCAAAGGATTCGTACTTCTGAATAACAACAGCAATATTGGAGTTTAATGGTCAAGTAATTTTTTGAGAATTTCTAATTGTTTTTCCCAAAACACCTGTTTTCCGGACATCACTACTAGTTTATTGAGCTATATACAGGATTAGTTCAAAGAGCATTCAACAGCAAGATATACTAAGTGACATATAAATCCGAACACCCAGTTTAAATGGTTTTATTTTAATAAAAGTTGGTGAATGTATTTATCTTACTGTAAATAACAAATGAAAAAATGTTCAGCCTTATCAGTTGGACATTCTGGTTTTTATACTGTTTTTTTTTAATTCACTAACGCTCTAAAAATGAATATTTCAGCCGCAGTAAAGAATCAACGTTGGCGGATTTTGATTCTTGACATCCTTTACGATCGGTTACGATGCCTAGAGTACGGAGACCTGTACGATTTCGTCAACTTAGTGAGTTTGATAGGGGCCGTATAGTGGAACTTCGGGAAGCGGGACTTTCTTTTCGGGCAATTGCAGTTAGAGTGCAAAGAAGTGTAGACACTATGGTTAGGTGTTGTCAGGCATGGCTTCGAGAAGGCCGTACGCAAAGAGCAAGGGGCACTGGACGCCGCTGTAGAACAACAGACCGTGAAGATCGCCGCCTAAGATTATTGGCCTTAAAGGACCGTTTCTCCACTACCAGGTCCATTGCAAATGAATGGTTTGCAGAACACGGAAGACCTATTGGCATGCGAAGTGTTTACCGACGAATGAGAAGTTTTGGCTTGTTTTCATACCGGCCACACTGGGTCCTCCCTTTAACTCGAGAACACCGACGTAATTGCCTTGAGTGGTGCAGACAACGGTCACTCTGGGATCAGGAATGGAACAGTATTGTCTTTAGTGACGAGTCTAGATTTTGTTTAGGGATGCACGGTGGTCGTGCCAGGGTTAGAAGGCGACGTAGTGAAAGGAGGAATCCACAGTTTTTTGTTGAAAGACATGTTCATCACACTGTTGGAGTTATGGTTTGGGGTGCTATAGCTTATGGTTCCAGGTCACCTTTAATCTTCATCAGAGATAACATGAACGCGCAGCGTTATATCCACGAAGTTCTAGAACCCCATCTTTTACCCTATCTTGACACCCTGGCAGATCCAACTTTCCAACAAGATAATGCCCGACCACATGTTGCAAGAGTCAGAATAGACTTCTTTCAACATAATGATGTCACATTGTTACCATGGCCACCAAGATCTCCCGACTTATCCCCAATTGAGCACGTGTGGGATATGATGGGTAGGAGATTGCTCAATTTGCAACGTCCTCCTCAGACTCTAGAAGCACTTCGAGAGGAGTTGGTGGTTGCCTGGAATGAGATACCACAGGAGGACATTGACCACCTGATCAGAAGCATGCCTAGGCGCGTTGGAGAATGCGTAGCACATCAGGGTGCATCCACACATTATTAAAGGTCAAAGGGCTTTAAAGCAGTGCAATCATTTTGAAATTTTTATCATTTACTTATTATGCTTCATTAAGTACTTATACAAAATTTTATTAAAACAAAACCATTTAAACTGGGTGTTCGGATTTATATGTCACTTAGTTAACACTAATTTACCTTGCCGATATGGATTACAAACCATTCCGAAAGATAAATGTTATTTTTATGCGACAAAAAAGGTTACGTTTTTCTCTTCAAAGCAAATTCAAACATTTCGTATTTCTGAGTAATTGAGCAAATGCGCTACGATATTCGAAATACTTACGTTACTAAGCATGTTTTAAAACAAAGCGGATGTGTCTATCATCTTTTGTTGCGAGTTACTCATAAATACGAAATGTATTGAATTTGTTTAGAATAAAAACGTAACCCATCCTTTTTTTGCATAAAAATAACATTTATTTTCCGGAATAGTTTTCGATTCATATCGGCAAGGTAAACTAGTATATTATGCTATAAAATGCCCTTTGAACTAACCCATGTATATTGCTCAAAAAAAACTAGTAGTGATAGCCGGAAATTAGATGTCTTGGGATAAGCAATTAGAAATTCTCACAAACTACTTGACCAATCTACTTCAATTTTGATGTGGTCATTTAGAAGTACCAATCCTACGAAGTTGAAGAATTTCAAATATCTCCGAGCAACTGTCTTCGCATTACCAACACGTGCCAAGACCTGCAGTTTTCCTCGGTTTTCGGGGATAACTTTTTTGCTATTAGTCGGATCGTTTTACGTGCGGTCTCATTTTCTAGGTCTCATAAATACTTAAAAATCTTTTAAAGAGGGTTTTTTCGCCCCTCCCCATTATTTAGATTGAATACCGAAAAACACATTTTCTCATTCTTTGTTGTCGAATAAAAAGTTTTCCCACAAAAATTGGTGTACCCATTTTATGCGTCCGTTTTGAATACCCCCTTGAGCAGCTTGCAGCAATAAAACCAGACTTTAGAATTATTTCGCAAACCAGGGGTACTTTCGTCTAATATGATTAGACTAATAGTGCTTCGCAGCAACACCAACCCCGAACAAAGTCAGTCAAGCTTTACGCACCTTTCAAATTACTATTGAGCACCAAACAGAACATAAATCACTTTTTAAGTGCAATCTGTATAACTAATATATTGCTTAGACTTAGATTTGTCACAATACTCGTATATACTATGTATAAATCGTAAGGATTGTGTTGTAAAGTGGTGTTTATTTTACCATGTGTGGTGTGTTTTATGTTGCCTAAGCGTTTTACGCGAATTAACGTATATAAAATCTAAATCATGCTATGGCCATCTTTCCTCGAAGAAAAGGAGAGATGGCCCACTTATTTCCTATGTATGATGGCCATCGTAGATCATTTGTATTTATTTTTAAAATCATTGGAGAGGGCCAAATGGACCGAGGAGCAACTGAAATCTACAATGAGTACTGTAAAAAGATGAGGGATTATCTGTGCTTCAGGCTGGAAAAACAGACTGGTTCGGCATATTACAGAAATGCAAAAAGTGGATCTCCACTTACTAGAGATGATTTGCCAACCATAGCTTATAAATTTGCTGTTCAGCTGGGCTTAAAACATAAATTTAATAATCGGCTTCAGAAAGCTGGTTAAGTTTGGCTGCATTCATTTCTCACCAGAGATCCACAAATATCAGTTAGAAAAGCAGAAAGTTTGTCGTTGGCGAGGTGCACAGCAATGTCTAGAAAGGTAGTAGTTGATAACTTTAAAGTACTGCCGAGTGTTCTGGAAGAAAACAATATCTTGATAAACCCGAAAAATATTTTTAATATGGACGAGGGTGGATTGCAACTAAATTCAAGACCGGTGGAAGTTTTGGCAGTAAAAGGATCAAAAGTAGTTTCGTCAGTTGCTTGAGCAGAAAAGGCCGAGACTGTAACAGTTGTTGCCTGCTGTAACGCCGACGGCACTTTTCTTCCTCCTGTCGCTATTATAAAAGGCAAAAATTTAAGTTAGTTAGTTTTTTAATGTAAGTTACTTTTTTGGCAAAAGGATTGGCTATTGAGTTTTTAGTTTTTTTTCTGTTATATGTAATAATAAAGTCTCATAGGTATTGCACGAGTATTCTTATAAAACTCATTATTTTCTTTGAATTTTATATGGCCATCTTACCTTCTATGATATGGCCATCTCTACTAAACACTATAGGAGAGATGGCCCACATATAAAAAATACCGATATTTATCAACAAAATAAAAAACCATATTTATAATGAATTTGCACAGAGCAACAAATAATAATTAGCATGCCCTACCCTAAAATATTATATTTTTTGTTAAAACCCAATTATTAAAAGTATTACAGGCGATTAAAAAAAAATATGGCCATCTTTCCTCGGTTTACCTATTATGACTTTCGTATTATTTAAACCAGAATCCAAAGTAACTTTTTATAAGCTGATATATTTTAGTGTGTGGGGATTTTTTTATACTTTCCCGTTAGAACATCATCCTTGGAATTGGAGACTTAAAAACTTCTATGATACACCGTATGCTATGTAAATCACTATCAACGACTAGAGACTATGTCACTATTTCAGTTTTGTCTTGTCAGTGGATACTGGAACCAGCAGAAACTTTCTTTAACTTTTGAGTCATTGCCTACTCACTCATTCAAAGCCTGCGCCACTGTCATAAACGACTAGCTGCCTTCTAGCGAAGCGGCGATGAAAACGTTAAATGGTAAAAAGTCAGGTTATAGTTATACTCGTAGTTGGATGCAGATGCACTGTTTCGGCTTAATACCTTCAAGCGTCGCAAAAATGTCATCTGGACAATCGAAGATTTTTTTGGGAAACATATTTCACTGCCAAAATGATCCAGCCAAAAAGCAATTGTATAGAATATCCAATGAACAAGGTGGTTTTGTGATCGTAAAACGAAGTAAGGTACGTGGGCATGTGTACTTGTGTACAGCCTATTTCACTATCACTAGAATCCATTACGTTTTGACTTCTACTGAGATGAACAGCTGATCAGCAAGTGACATCTTTGAATTAGTCTGTAACGTTGGTAGTAGTGAATTGGGTATAGATCTGGTAAAACTCAGAACCGTATTTAGAGCTGTTGTTCACAATATCTCGACACTTTTAATGACAAGGAATTTTGACAATAGAATACACGGATTACACTTAGAAAAATGCTTATTAGAAAACCATCGGACAAAAGTAACAAAACACCAAATATATTTCAAAGCTTAGAAACGTAACTATAAAAACGAAATTAAATAGGTATAACTTATTTAAAACTACATCAAAATAAACAAATTTAAAAAGAATGACATTCTTACGACTACATATTATTATTGTTTTTTTATAATGTCGTTTGAAATTGGAAAATTAAAGCAGCTTTTATCTTTCCACACTTGCGCTACTGTGTGGCAATGTAAATAAAATTTTAACAAAATTGGCAAGCTCTGGGTATGCGAGACTATCATGCCTTTTTTTGATATTGATTATGTTTTTCCAGAATTGAATTTCACCAAGCGAAAAATCACATTCAGAAAACTTCAACTGCATAAATTCTTCATCTAAATTGTTAGTGTCTCTAACTATATATGGAAACCTATTAGCCAGAGCACCTATGCTTTCAGTTGATGATATATTTGATGGGTGCAGAAAAGTTATTAGTTTGAGAATCTGTACTTCTCGGGAATTAAAGGGGAATTGTTTCCATATTTGGCTTACCGCTTCAGTATAAAAATCCAGACATGTCAATCTGAGATTATGTTTGATATTTTCGGTGAAAAAAGGATTATTCATTTCTTCCAATACTTTTGGACCCAAGTAACTTTTTGCCATTGGAAGAAAATGTTCTGGATTTCGATATTGAACATTAACTATATCTGTATTTCTTAAATATTCTGATTTTATGAAACAGCTTAATAAAAATTTACACGCGTCATTAATCCGGGGGTGAAGGTTATGTACCTTGGGGGTTTCAGACTGGAATTCCAAATTCATATCCGTAAAAGGCGGTAATATAAATTACAAAAAAAGATGATATAGTTTATTTAATTTTATATATATATATATATATAAATTACTAGTATGTCATGGATTTCATATTGCTCAATAATTCTACTTACAGCGGAAATCAGTGACCTGGTTTGTGATGAATGCAATAATTTGTGGGGTTTGATGTTAAAAAATGTTTGAAATTCTTCAAATTCCGAAAATCTTTTAAAACTGCGATGCATATAATTGTATATGCTTCTTACCAACTTTTGGATGCATTTCTATATTTTTTCATTGTATTTTTCATTTTTTTTTGTTTGCCACAAACCTTTAGAAAAATTAGTAGAAATATGACATTTAACAAAAGTTTTCACTAAATCACTAAAGTTGTTCAAAAATCACTAGATCTAGTGAAATTTCACTAGACCTGGTAACATTGGGGTACGGGATAAATGTCTAAAGCACAATGTTGTCAAATGTGTGGGTGCTATGGACTAATTGTTTGGGCCCGTTTGACTGACTCGATCCATTTAACTCCTTTGTTATCCAAATTCGTAGCCAACCCTTTTCTGAGAGGAGCTTCCTTTCCCCGAACATAATCATGAACTGATGATAGCGTTCCAATTCTATTTCCAAATTCTGGCATTCTCAGGTTATTTAGATGTGAATGTTTGCCTATATTTTTCTAATCCTTCCAGATTATGGCAATAGGAAGGAAAGAAGACCTCGAACAAGCTAGAGCACAACACTTAGCAGATGAGCAAGATGTCATGGTAACTGTTCTATCAGATCGTCAACTGTTAATTCCAGGTTTCGTAGATACACATATACATGCTCCACAGTATCCAAATTGCGGATTAGGCTACGATAAGCCTTTATTAGAATGGTTACAGGCTTACACCTATAAGCTAGAAAGGAAATATAGGGATTTGGAGTACTCAAGAAAAGTTTTCAATGCAGTGGTGGTAAAAATATTTTAATATTATGGTGTGTTGTAATGAGTAGATTCATTCCATCTGCAGTTTGGGAATATTATAAATGAGTCCATTCGTAAAAACATATCATTTACGACTAACTTCTCCATCGCAGACTTCTTCATGCCCTAGGGTATAAAATTGTCTTTATCATATATAATTTAACTGCTGAACATAATAAAGGATATTTCAAATTCGCCTCTCATCATTGGGATCTCAGAAACGGTGAAAGATAACAAAGTTTCGCAATTCCGAGAAGAAAGAATTTTCCAAAAATGGGTTTTATTTTTCCTGGCTATCTTTGAGATGCAATTTTAAAATTAAAGATACAATTTGTCTCCTCTATAAGATGGCATAATCAGAATTTCAATATGTCGTTTCATGTGTTGTCCGCAATGATCAACTTGAGGTGAACAATGTTTTCAATTCTGATTTAAAAAATGTATTATGTGACCATACATTGATATTGTCAAGCCTTAGTTATTTCATAAAATTAATATTTTCATAGTTACTTTGAAGATATAATTAAACCAATTAAAATATTAATTAGGCCAGTTAAAAAAGTAATTAATCATGTGACAGCTAACAAGTCTAATTTAACTAATTAAGCTCCGATTTCTAAAGCAGTTTACTTGAATCTATGAAATTGACACCAAAACGCAATCGTTTAATTGAATTTATTAAATTTGCTCAACTAACGTAACATCTGAAACTTAACCTGTGGTCCTACATGCAAGTTTGATCAATAAAAAAAATTGTGGTTGTCCAGACAAGCATGTCTATATTATTTATTTAATTAGTTTAGGTAAAAGTGTTTTGCCAGTTTAAGTGAATTATTTTGTTTATAAATAAACGTATATATACTAAGTGACATATAAATCCGAACACCCAGTTTAAATGGTTTTATTATATTATATATACTGTAAATAACAAGTGAAAAATTTTCAGCCTTATCAGTTGGACATTCCGGTTTTTAGACTGCTTTTTTTTAATTCACTAACGCTCTAAAAATGAATATTTCAGCCGCAGTAAACAATGAACGTTGGCGGATTTTGATTCTTGACATCCTTTACGATCGGTTACGATGCCTAAAGTACGGAGACCTGTACGATTTCGTCAACTTAGTGAGTTTGATAGGGGCCGTATAGTGGGACTTCGGGAAGCTGGACTTTCTTTTCGGGCAATTGCAGTTAGAGTGCAAAGAAGTGTAGACACTGTGGTTAGGTGTTGTCAGGCATGGCTTCGAGAAGGCCGTACGCAAAGAGCAAGGGGCACTGGACGCCGCCGTAGAACAACAGACCGTGAAGATCGCCGCCTAAGATTATTGGCCTTAAGGGACCGTTTCTCCACTACCAGGTCCATTGCAAATGAATGGTTTGCAGAACACGGAAGACCTATTGGCATGCGAAGTGTTTAGCGACGAATGAGAAGTTTTGGCTTGTTTTCATACCGACCACACTGGGTCCTCCCTTTAACTCGAGAACACCGACGTAATCGCCTTGTGTGGTGCAGACAACGGTCACTCTGGGATCAGGAATGGAACAGTATTGTCTTTAGTGACGAGTCTCGATTTTGTTTAGGCATGCACGATGGTCGTGCCAGGGTTAGAAGGCGACGTGGTGAAAGGAGGAATCCACAGTTTTTTGTTGAAAGACATGTTCATCACACTGTTGGAGTTATGGTTTGGGGTGCTATAGCTTATGGTTCTAGGTCACCTTTAATCTTCATCAGAGGTAACATGAACGCGCAGCGTTATATCCACGAAGTTCTAGAACCCCATCTTTTACCCTATGTTGACACCCTGGTAGATCCAACTTTCCAACAAGATAATGCCCGACCACATGTTGCAAGGGTCACAATAGACTTCTTTCAACATAATGATGTCACATTGTTACCATGGCCACCAAGATCTCCCGACTTATCCCCAATTGAGCACGTGTGGGATATGATGGGTAGGAGATTGCTCAATTTGCAACGTCCTCCTCAGACTCTAGAAGCACTTCGAGAGGAGTTGGTGGTTGCCTGGAATGAGATACCACAGGAGGACATTGACCCCCTGATCAGAAGCATGCCTAGGCGCGTTGGAGAATGCGTAGCACATCAGGGTGCATCCACACATTATTAAAGGTCAAAGGGCTTTAAAGCAGTGCAATCATTTTGAAATTTTTATCATTTACTTATTATGCTTCATTAAGTACTTATACAAAATTTTATTAAAATAAAACCATTTAAACTGGGTGTTCGGATTTATATGTCACTTAGTATATGTATGTATGCAGGATGAAGTTACATATTTTTTATAAAATAATTGCTACTCAGTTCAAATTAAGAACCGAAATATTTTATATCATTCCAATCAGAAAAGGAAACTGGCCAGCATGCACCCCTGCACTCTCTATCATTTTTTTTGCAGAGGCGTACTTTGAATCATGGTACGACCACGGCATGTTATTTCGCCTCTCTATTTCAAGATGCCAGCCTGATTCTAGTCGACGCTGTGCTTAAATACGGACAAAGAGCGTTTATCGGCAAAATCAACATGACAACTTTGGCGCCAGATGACTATGTAGAGACGCCTGAGGAGACCATCAAGCTAACAAGAAAATTTATTGAATCTGTTCGGTCTAAAGATGTGAGTATTTTTGCTTATCCATTGAAAAATAGTCCATTACATACCTAGGTTGCGAAGTGATTTATTATTGGTCGCGCACTGACGCGTATATCGGCGAAGTGTATAATTTGCGAGATCAATAATTTATTGCTTTCTCATGCGATGTATGTGTAGAATTTCTTCACTACTTACACTTTTTTATGGCTATACTCGATCTTCTTAGATATAGCCTTACTTGTTAGCGCTATATTCACAACAACCTAAACGTAAAGCAGCGGTGTTGACGTTTTATATACGTTTCACAAATACTCGGAAATATCTAGTTGCCTGATGTCAGACTGACAAACTCAAGTAATTTGCTAACGATTTTAGCTTTTAAATATCATTAATTATTTACCTAGGCGTACAGGGAGAAAAAAGCTACTCCTCAATGGAGCATTGCAGATAATCATGGCAATTTCTCGGGTAGGTGCTGAAAATACAAGTTTTATTTTCAATGTTCTTCTATTTGTTGTAGTGCGAACTAGTGGAACCAATCGTTACGCCAAGATTTGCACTAAGCTTAGAAATGGATTCAATGATTGAACTGGGACAGTTAGTCAAGGAGTACAACGTCAATGTTCAGGTAATAAGGAATGCTCCAGTGATAGAAATATTATCGCATCAACATTTGAAACTGCTTAGTATGGACCTCTTTTGTTTTTTTAACTATTCTGAGAATTGATAGGAAAAAATCTTGACCAATCAAGTACCAGAATAACATGTCAATCTCTCGTGTACATACCATACCGTACCAGAACAAAAAAATAGTGTCTCCACTTCCTATAAGAATGTCCTACATAGGTCCCCTATGGAGATCCAGGCTGGAAATCACCTTTTCTTTAATAACTTCTGAACGACACTTCAACGAAATTTGAACCGTTAGTAACCAGTTTCAGCCTCACTTGGTGTTCATGAAAAACAACTCAAATGTCCCAACTTTCCTCTACACGTTACCTGTAGCGTTCAAATAAAGTGCCTGCGCTCTTAGAGTGAAAACAAAAGCTGCAGAGATCTGTACGTGGATTTGTCGCTACAATTTAAAATACTCTTATGATTATTTGATGTGATTTTTTAGTTATAATCTTTCCTCTCAGAATCTCTGACGTCTGGGCCGCCATTGTACCCCTTCTCGCATACTCTTTCATTTCAAATGTTAAAACTGGAGTGGCCCCCCAAATACGTTTCAAGGTGTAAAAAAGTGATCTTCGTCGCGTCAGCCCTAACCCTCTGACGGTTTCTCGTTCTTGGAACGGAACTAGCCATAGACTATGTAAACCGCTGTGACTTGAATAAATATAATTTCGGAGCTAGAGCAATGTTTTCAAACTAATGCAGGGGTGAAAGTTTGTATTCCATTCCCCCATGTTTGTCTGGCTAATCAAACTACATGTGTTTAAAATTCTTTCTTATTATTTACAATTGTAACTATTTGGACCTAACCCCAAAGCAGGCAGTAGATAAAATACACATGTTACAAAAAAATGCACCTCTCAAGCACGATAATATGGACTGAACGAGGCAAATGCATAGATCTTAAGCAATAAACATAGTTGCAGACACCAACATGAATTAATAATGGCCTAAGGCACTGTGTTACTCTAAACAAGAAAAATACAATAGAAAAAGCAAAATGGACACCAGCAGCCGTGACGTTCGAGGTAGTCCAGAAGCTCGCGATTTATGCACCTCTCCATCACCTTACTTATAACACAAAGCAGAGCTATAGGTCTGTAGTTGTAAGGGTGGGTCTTATATTTTTTGGGATGAGTTGGACATGAGCAAATTTCGAGTTATCTGGGAAGGTGCCGGAGTCGTAAGATATCTGGAATAGACACGGAAGAACTGGAGCGAGTTCCGCTTCACACCTCTTCAATGCAATGGCAGAAATCAAGTTCGGACCAGAAGCTTTATTGAAATCGAGCGACAAGGGCACCCGCCTTACGGTCTTATGCCTGAATGTTACTTCCCGCATATTGTAGGGAACCCTTTAAATCCATGGTTTAGGCACTTTCATTGTATGAGGGATGTATTCCTCAATCCCGACGTGGATAATTTCTGTTATCGATGAACAGTCGGCATGTCCGTAATGCCACATTTTGCAGCCTGGGCGAGTTTCTGCTGTCACAACGGGTTCTGACCGAAACGTAACCACCACAACACCCTGGTCGGAGTTACCCAAGGGAAACAGGACAGCAGTGCTGTAAGGGACATGATGCGTGGCGAAAAAGAGATCCAGCAGGCTACTAGCATGTGACGACACGCGGGGGAAAAAGTAGGGCTCGTCACCAGCAGGGTGAACCTGTTACAACACATCATAGTTATTTAAGAAATGCAGTTTTCCCTGTTATATATATATATATATATATATATATATATATACAGGGTGACTTTGAAGTTGAGTCATTAATTTTCAGATAATGATTGTAGAAGGAAGATAAACCAAAATATGTGTGTAAAAATAAAAAAAAAAATAAAAAAAATTTTTTACCTTGTTTTATAAAGTATCCTCCCGACAAGTATTTCAGTGCGGACCTGTATTTGATCGTGAGGTCCCCTGTGAGGTCTTAAGTCACCTGATTCACGAGCCCGTTGTACTACATTAACAAAGACACGAGGGGTTGGTTGCACTCGATTGGGAAACCGATCCGCATAAACATGTGCCATTTTTTATTTCGTTTGAGCCACGCAACAGACAATATTCACACGCGACACTGACACTGACTGTATGTATAACTGAACTGAATAAAATAATAAACTGTACACAAACATCGTTCCAAATTCTTTCGCTTTTTTGTTTCCGATGCGATGAACCGGTAAGGCGGATTATATCCGTTGTTGCCAAACACGAGCACATGATATTGAGACAGGGCGGTACTCAAACTTCCAAAGGGCTATAACTTTGTTACTTTAATTTTACCAGAAAAATGGTAAAGGAAAAAAACATTTCTTTTGATCAGATCTATTCACTGTTAAAATAAATGACTCAACTTCGAAGTCACCCTGTATATATATTTATATATATATATATATATATATATATATATATGTCGGCGTCAAACGCTGAAATTCGTCATTCCCTGAAATGCCTAGTCAGTCCCCGTATTGCCGGCAAACACCGTAACAGTTTGATTATTACAACGTTTGACTAAGCATTTCAGTCATTCCCTGTAATGACTGAACAATTTTAGTCAAACACCGTAACAACCACATTAACTTCGTTACTGATTCAGTCATTCATTGTACCAGTTTTGTGTTCATTTGCTTGGGTACACACATAGTCTTTTCTGTTCTGCGAAAAAGCAGTGGTTATGCAATAGATGTATTTCTTTAAAAAAAAACTTCTTTGTAATTCATGGTGCCGTAGAAGTCTAACATGCGCTACCAAATAATGTTTAAAATATCATAAAATATAAGATAATTCTATGTAACTATTTTGTTTTTAAGGGTACTTATTGTTTTATAATCCTTTCGATAGTTTCAGGATATCTCTTGTTGATTTAATACATTAAAGATTAATCTCCACAATAATGTTATAATAAAGTCAACATTTTAATCTATTCTTCTTTCCTTTTCGATCAATTCATGATTGATTATTTTTCTTTTAATATTATTGATAAAGTAGTTCCTTATCATATTATTTACTTAGTCGGGGCAACACTGTATTGATTACAGCGTTTGACTAAAATAGGCGAATGCAGTAACGAAGTTAATGTGGTTGTTACGGTGTTTGACTGAAATTATAATCATTGTTACGGTATTTTCCGGCAATACGGGGACCGCCTAGGAATTTCAGGGGATACGTAAATTTAGTCAGCTGTTAGCGGAAATTCCAGTAGCGGCATTCGGATCATTTGGCACATTGATTGCTTTTTTGTATCAAGTAAAAACGTGGCAGTATTTTGAACAAACTTTGTGTCAAGCAGGTCGACTGTATATCTGACATACAGTTTCTTTGATCGTTTTTTTGACCTAATGAACGCCATTTTCTATTACAGACTCATATATCAGAAAATACAGATGAAGTCAAGCAGGTAAATTCCAAGTACGGTCTTCCTTATGCGAATGTTTATGATAAAGCTGGACTATTGACGCCAAAGGTAAATTAGTTTCATGCATCGATAATATTCTGCTACAACTTATACCGCTGATTTTTGTAAGTGGAACACTTATTACTACTGAAGAAATCAATCTTTTTAACATTATCTCCTTATATTTTAGACAGTTCTGGCCCACGGCATCTACTTAACAGACGAAGAGCTCAGTCTTTTAAGTCAAAGAGGTAGTTCAGTGTCGCACTGTCCCGACTCTAATACCTGCTTGAAATCGGGCATGTGCGACGTCAGGCGGTTGTTTAGCTTCGGCATTAAAGTAGGTCTTGGCACGGATGTTTCCGGGGGAGCGTCGCCGTCGATTGTTTCTGCGATGCGATCCGCATTAGCGACTTCTATCAACTTATCTTTCGGTCAGAAGAACTATAAGCCATTAAACTATCTGGACGTATTTTATTTGGCCACTCTAGGTGGTGCTGAAGGTAAGATAACACCAATGCCCCTTTTATTCCTCATTCTAATTTTTCATTTCACCTTTATGCTTATATGTTCAAGGTCACTATTATCAGTTATTTAAAATATTACATGATAACGGTAACTGGGCAATATAGATAGTACATTTTTCTACGGCTTGTTCGAACGAATTGTATGAAGCGCATTGTTGTAAGAATATGGGGGACAAAAGTAACAGGAGGGAAGTTCTTGTAACGTGCCAAAATCACGTAAGCTTTTTTTCTACCATTTTGATCACTTATCAGTAATTCCAATTTCTCTTTATTAATGATATAGCACCGATTCCTAGGCCAAACCCTTTTCAGTGATTTTCTTTTGTCAAATTTCGTTATTTATTGATCTATTTTGATCTCGACACTACCTAATCCTGAAAGTATAATTTCACACATTATATCTTTCTTTATTAGCGACTCAGTACTGTGTTCAAATCTTTTGGATACTAAATGTTATAATAAAATATCGTTGATTTCTCGTAAAGTTGGTTTTTGCCCATAGGCAACCAGTCCACTGACGGAAGACCGGAAAGTGTGTCGGTCACATTTCCTGCTGAAGCCTTGGTTGAGAAGGTGTATCGGTCATTCATTTGGTTTCCAGATTTTGGGATATTGGGCCTCAATCACCAGTTTATGGAGTGAATGAATGAATGAATCTTGAATTTTAGAGGCATCCCGGCCACCATAAGGAGCCAGTGCATAGGCCGCTTAAGCGGGCCCTTATGCACCTCTACAATACTTAAATCACAAGCCTCGCCCTTTTAGCGAAGTTGAGAATCGCCTTGAGTCCAAGCTCCTTTACGTCCTGAGGGTCCAAAGTAATGGACCCCAGTATAGTCTGCCTATAGTAGCTCAGAGCTTCACAGCGACACAAAACGTGCGCCGAGGTCTCTTCCTCTACTCCGCAGCGTTCGCATAAGGGATCCTCAGCCACCCCCATCACGTGCAGGTGCCGCCTTAACGTGTTATGGCCAGACAACAGTCCCACCAGCAACCTTAGGTTGGCTCTACCCAGAGATAGGCAGAAGCGTCCATCCTTAGCACTGGGCCCTTCAATGAGCTCTCGTGCCTGGCGGAGATGTCTAGAGATACTTCTCCATTTCTGAGAGTGTTGTCTTGCAACCCACGTCTCCATTTTCCTCCTAGCTTTATGCGCGGTTACTCCTAGAGCTGGCTCAGGACCAACGAGCTTGCTGGCTGATCCTGTTTTCGCCAGAGTGTCCGCCGTCTCATTGCCCCTTATCCCAGCGTGCCCCGGTACCCATATTAACGATACCGGATGCCTCGCTGCGAGGCAATCCAGAGCCTCCCTGCATTGCAATACAAGACTCGAAGTAATCTTACATGCACTTAGTGCTTTCATTGCAGCCTGGCTGTCGGATAAGATTGTTATTCTTCTCCTAGGCCCACCCTCCTCCAGAATGTGAGATACACAAGCCAGAATCGCAAAGATTTCCGCCTGGAAAATGGTGGTGTACTCACCGAGAGGCAGAGATAGCCTAGTTCTAGGTCCAGAGACCCCAGCACCTGAGCCCTCTTCGGTGACCGAGCCGTCCGTGTACCAGACCTGCCCGCTCACTTCGGAGAGTCCTCGGCTACCGGCGTCCCACTCCTCCCTCGTTGGGTACTCCACAATGAACTTGCGGTTGAAGCGATATTTAGGGGTAATACGATCACCCCTGCTTAGAAGGACGGGGTCCTCCCTATCTAATTCGACTAATATGGCAGTATGCCCCTTGACCGGATTCAAGAAAGCCCAGCTGCCCTGACTCCACAGTCGATGAGCGACTACTCTCGCTTCACCGCGGATCACCAGATCCAACGGTGGGAGATCCAACAGAGCTTCCATTGCACTCAATGGCGTTGTTCGCACTGCGCTTGTAATGCTAATACAGGCCAAACGCTGAATTTTATTGAGTTTGGCCTTAGTTGACTCAGTTCTAATGCAAGGCCACCAGACCAGGGAGCCGTACAAGAGAGATGGACGTACTATCGTCGTGTAGAGCCAGTATACCACTTTGGGTTTAAGCCCCCACCTTACACCGACAACACGTCTACAAGCCCACATCGAATTGCGAGCCTTGCTAACCTTGTGTTCCACATGCTCTCTCCAGTTCAGTTTGCAGTCCAGGATAATTCCCAGATATTTCACTGACTGGGACAAAACTAATCTAGTCCCAAAGAAGGTAGGCATGACCAGTCCGTCAAGCCTTCTTCTCCTAGTGAATAGGATCAGCTCGGTCTTTTCAGCATTAACAGAAAGATCGACTTCCCTACACCACGATTCCACGGAGCGCAGAGCGCCCTGCATAATTTCCGAGACTGTTCTACAGAAACGCCCCCTAACCACTATGCTTACGTCATCAGCATAGGCTTGCACGTAGACACCCATACTGTTGAGCCTAACGAGCAGTTCGTTCACCACGATACACCACAGTAGGGGTGACAGAACTCCACCCTGAGGGCAGCCTCTAGCTACGTTCACGCTGCAGCTTACGTTATTCAGCATAGCTGTTGTTACCCGACCCTCCAGAGTAGAGAGGACCCAATCTATTAGGATTGATCCAACCCCGTGTCTAACCAAGGCCTGTCTGATAGAGTCGGTTGTGGTGCAATTAAATGCACCTTCAATATCTAAGAAGGCCACGAGTGCCACTTCTCGCTGATCTAGAGTCTTCTCCAGCCTCCCAACCAGATTGTGTAAGGCCAGATCAGTCGATTTTCCAGCTTGGTATGCAAACTGATTTGCATGAATGACACACCTTTCCAGTGGGCCATCCCTTAGGTATCTATCAACTATCCTTTCCAGGGTCTTAAGCACAAAAGATGAAAGAGTAATCGGTCGAAAATCCTTCGGGCCAGTATATCTATCTCTGCCCGGTTTAGGAATGAATACCACTTTAGCCTGCCGCCAACTTCTAGGTGTGAAGCCCGTGGCCACACATGCTCGAAACACATTCAACAGGTAAGGAACAACCGAAATCCGTCCCTGCTGTAACATGGCCGGAAATACGCCGTCCAGACCTGGACTTTTGTATGGGGCAAACGAATCTACTGCCCATACCGTCCTTTCGAAGGTGACAATCTCCCTTGCCGTGCGCCAGTCCTCCCTTGAGGGCCTGCGCAACTGCATGCACTCTGTGATTGATCGCGCTACTGTGGAACCGGGAAAGTGCGTATCCATCAGAAGCCTCAGAGTATCTTCCTCGGAAGTAGTGTTCCCTCCCGAGGGATCATGCAGAGATCCCAATCTTGCTTTAGTGTCTTTGCATAGGACTCTGTGTATTCTTGCAGTAGCAGGAATGTCATTTATGGACTGACAGAAGTGCCTCCAGGATTCTCTGGAGGCCCTTCTAATCTCCTTTTTGTACTCCTGCAATGCCTTTTTGTATTCTTCCCATAGAGGAGAACCTCTCCTGTGCTTAACTCTGCTAAGAAGTTTGTGCACCGCTCGTTTTCTATCCTCTAAATCTTTGGTCCAGAAGGTTGCCTTGCCCTTACCTTGTACTTTGCGTAACGGGCAGTTTTCCTCATATGCGGCCGTCAAGTCCCTGCTCAGAGACTCGACAGCTGCTTCTATGTCAGAGCCCCTGCCAAGCCTGTATGGGACCGCTCCAAGCTTACTGTCAATGTCTGCCCTAAAGGACCCCCATCTAGTATGCCTGGGATTCCGAGCATATTTATCCGGAATCTCTCCATCAGTCTTGAACAGTATATACCTGTGATCCGATAGAGAGGGTGTTAGAGACACTTTCCAGTCCCTGATGTCCTGAGCTAAGTTAAGCGTGCTCAGTGTTACGTCGATAACCTCTTCTCTTACACTATTGCTGAAAGTGGGCATGTTACCGACATTCAGAACCTCAAGGTTCGATGCCCCAAGAAACTCCATCAGGTCTTCGCCTCGTCTGTTGGTGTTCGAGCTGCCCCACGCAACGTGATGGGCATTACTGTCGCATCCAATCACAAGGTCGAGTCCAGAATCCCTACAGAATGCGACAAGGTCCCCCATTTCCTTAGACGGAGGAGGGTCTCTTGAATCGTAAGGAAGGTAAGCCGAACAGACAACCAAGTCCCTGTCACTGCCTTCCTTCTTATATCTAATTCTGACTGCAACTAAGTCTCTAAATGTAAATTCTTTAAGTTGCCATGAGTTGACGGAAGTCATTACGCAAGCTCTGGGCTTAGTGTCCGGAGTATCGCTAAAAAGCGTATAGCCTGGTATACTAAGCCCGTTTACTGAACCGTTTCTCAGCCAGGGTTCCTGGATGAGAGCCACGTCATGTCGGCCTCGAGTGATCTCCTGAGTAAGGGCCCTCGAAGCCGCTATGCAGTGTTGTAAGTTAATTTGGATGAAATTGAAACTTACCATGGATGTTGAGAGGCCCTTCCTACACCTTCCCGAATGACGGTATGTAACCCCTATTCGGGCGTACCGCCGTCGCCGCCGCAGTCATCGCTGCCGCAGCCGCCTTCATCTCCGCTTCCACGGAGGAGTTCTCGGACTCGGTTCAGGATTCCATCCTCGTCCGAGTCGCTATCGTTTTCCTCTGGGACCAGATCCATCGCAGGGTCCGCCACGATGTTTTCTGCGGATATCCCGCTTGGACCCGCCGCCTCCACGTCCGTAGCCTCCGGTGGCTCCAGCGAGAGCTGACCCGGCCGACCCATCCCCTGTTATGGAGTAGTACCCTTTCTCTTACCTACCTTACCTTTAGCAGTTTGTTTTAATATTGTTTGGTGCTACTCCCTCCATTTTTATGGGATTTTAACATCTTCAGCTTGGGAAGGCATTGATGAAAACCACCATCCAGCTTTATAGCTGTTTTGCTGCCGGTTGTAGCTGATTTTACTGAGATCGACCGTTTTTTCTTGAGAAAAAAACCTGCGGTAAACAGGCACCTGCACCATGAATTTTGAGTGCGAGGCAAGCAGCCCATGCTTTGTGAAGTTTCTTATGTCACTGCCACTACTGGCCACTGGTTTTGACAAAAAAGCCTGACCTTTTGTGGACTTGGATCATCTCGGCTGCATATGTATCTTTGCATGGAAGGAAGGAAGTCTACAATCCAGATAAGTTTAGGATTTCTTTTTAAATTAGTTAAAGTCAATTATTCTTCTGGCGCCATAATATTTATAAGACCTGACGCGTTCGTGTAACATGGTGAGAGATAAAACATGGTAAACGACCTTGTGTCAGTGTCAAATTCAACATTATAATTGAATATACAGAAGTGCACAGATACAGTAATGTTTCACTATGATTATTGATATGCAAATTATTCAAACAACACCACGGTTATATTAGCGCTTCAAATATTTGAGAAGTACAGGGTGGCGCAGAGGAAACGCACGATTTTCACCTAAGCATAACATTTTTTATTTTCAAGATAACTTTGTTTCAGTTACAGCTAAATAAAGTAATGATAGTGCACTTTTAAACTAATGATGGTAAATAACGTCACTCAAGTGTCGCCCTGCTTCGCGCTCGCACATCTCCAACCGCTCTTGAAAGTTGTGCATTACACGTAAAATCATTTCTTGTGGTATTCTTGCAATTTCTTGACGAATAGCAATTTTCAGTTCCTGTAACGTACGAGGCTTGTGAGGGTACACTTTACCCTTAAGGTAACCCCACAAAAAGAAGTCGCATGCGGACAAATCTGGGGAGCGTGAGGGCCAAGGGACATCGCCGAAACGGCAAATCACATGTTCAGGAAACATCTGTCGAATCCATTCCATTGATGCTCTCGCTGTGTGAGCTGTGGCACCGTCTTGTTGGAACCACAGCTCTCCCATGTTTACTTGTTGCCGATGAAGTTCGGGTAACAGAAAATTTTGTAACATGTGAACATAACGTGCTGAAGTAACTGTTACTGCTCTTTCTTCCTCTTCAACAAAGTAAGGACCAACGATACCTAATTTACTGATTCCGCACCACACAGTTAATTTTTGACTATGCAAGGGTCGTTGGTGTAGCTCTCGTGGATATTCGGCCGCCCAATACCTACAGTTCTGCTTGTTTACATATCCTGTTAAATGGAAGTGTGCTTCGTCACTCATCATTATGACGACGTCAGGATCGTCAGCAAAAATGGCCCGCATTCTCGCACAAAATTCTCTACGCTGTGCAAAATCGCTTTCCGTTAGCCCTTGCACGATCATTATCTTGTACGGATGATATTGTAAATCGTCATGCAGAATGCGTTGTAACGACCGACGGGACATACGCAGAGTTGGAGCTTGGCGCCTAGTGGACCGTTGGGGACTATCAAGGACCGCTCTTCTCACTGTTTCGATATTGCCTGGAGTCCGCACGGTACGGGGAAGGCCAGGTGGCTTCCTCTTCATTACGGATCCAGTACTTCGAAATGCTTCAACCCATCGGAGTATTGTGTTTCGATCTGGAATTGGCCCGTGGCGTTCAACATTGAACTGTCGACGGAATAAACGTTGCGCGATTACTACAGAATCATCGTTTCGAAAAAATTGCTCGAGGGCAAACACACGATGCTCCGTCATCCACGGTGCCATGGCTGAAACTGCATCGCATGTGTTCTCTGCTGGCGGTGCGGCGAGGTCATATCCCTATTCTGTGCGAAATACCATTCGGTCAGAAAACATGCGTTTCCTCTGCGCCACCCTGTATTAGCAGTTGTTGTGTGGCAACTAAGCCACCTTTGATCAAAGGTACCTAAGATCATATTTGAAAATAGAAGTAAAAAAAAATGGAAAAACATTTGACATTGAAATTACTTTCAACGTCAGGGCAAAATCTAGGGCCGTTACCAGAAAACTAAGATCAAATGTTATGCATAGTCTTTATCTTCAGATCATCATCAACGGTGGATTTTAACAGTACTGCGCTAATTCCAATGCCAAACGAACTTTGTGGTCAATGTCCAAAATCAAGTCGCAATCGAATAACCAAATACGCTGACTGAGGCACCGAACATTACATTAATAAGGTCAAGGTGGAGGTCAATGTGAAATCTGTCGTCGCCAAATGAAAAAATATCCACACTTCTTCCCGATCACTTCTCATACCCATGATCATTTTCAATAAAGTAGATGGAAAAATTTAATGACGTTTCAGCCTCTTTGGTTTCAAAGTACGGATAGATTCAAAACGACAATATACTATATATATATATATATATATATATATATATATCGTTACCCTAATTGTAATACCACGTATCATCAAATTTGCTGAAATTGAGATTCTAGCATAAATAAAAAGTAACCAGTATTGCACACCGTCTGTAAAAACCACGTATCAGTTCAACCAATAAGAAACGAGCTATTTCATTTCAAAGAATACCGCGTAACATCATCCACAAAGTTAGCTGAAAAAATACCTCGTATGAACAGCAGTTTGCACGTGGTCCTTACGAAGTGCGCATCACGCTGCGACAAGTTAGAGGAATAAGCTGATTTTAGCAAAGGTACGTTGATAATTATCATAATTAGAGTAGTATATATTAGCGTTAATATACTGAATATGTCATTTATTAGTCTCAAATTATGCCCCATTGTAATTCTTTTTGTAGTTGGATGATACGAGTTATTGTTTATTACTATTCCAAGCATTTAGCGAAGGAATCGGCGAAACATTAAAATGTCCTTGCTTCGTATTTCCTAATTTATAAAATTTATATTTGAAATGTATTTCCTACTAAGTGCTGTTGTCAAAATGCTAACTTCAAGTTCAAGTAAATTGCCAAGATATACAGGGTGACTTCGAAGTTGAGTCATTTATTTTAACAGTGAGTAGATCTGATCAAAAGAAATGTTTTTTTCCTTTACCATTTTTCTGATAAAATTAAAGTAACAAAGTTATAGCCCTTTGGAAGTTTGAGTACCGCCCTGCCTATTATATGCTCGTGTTTGGCGACAACGGATATAATCCGCCTGACCGGTTCATCGCATCGGAAACAAAAAAGCGAAAGAATTTGAAACGTTTATCACGATGTTTTTCGTCAGTCGATAAATCCTGAGTGAATAGTAGTGTGTTGCGTGGCTCAAACGAAATCAAAAATGGCACATGTTTACGAAAATGCTGAACTTGTGGACATGATTCTTATTTACGGGGGGGCAGTCTTTACAAAATGCTCCCGGATGCATCACGGATTTATGCGAATCGGTTTCCCAATCGAGTGCAACCAACCCCTCGTGCCTTTGTTAATGTAGTGCAAAGGGCTCGTGAATCAGGTGACTTAAGACCTCACAGGTGAGGGCATGCTGCTCCAAGACCGCACGATCAAATACAGGTCCGCACTGAAATACTTGTCGGGAGGATACTTTATTAAACAAGGTAACATTTTTTTTTTATTTTTACACACATATTTCGGTTTATCTTCCTTCTACAATCATTATCTGAAAATTATTGACTCAACTTCAAAGTCACCCTGTATAGTTTTAAATTAAATACAACTGTTCGGAATTTATAGGAACCTCATCCAGCCGTTGGTATCTCATAGCTTTGTTCTATTATAGATGTCAAGCAGAAGCAAAACTGGTCAAGTACTACACAATAGCGAAACGCAATACAGAAGCTTAGGTCCAGCCTGCTCCTCGATGAAATGCTTGAAATACAAAAAGAGACACTGTAATACTATAACTCATGAGGAGCGATCGTCGATTTTTAAAAAAATTTGGACCGATATGTCTTGGGAGCAAAAACAGATATATGTAGCAAGTTTGATGGAAAAGAGAGAAACCAGAAGGAAATATGTGAAGCTTCACAATCGGGAAATTGAGCTACCCAGGGACTACGTGAAAGTAACAAGAGAAGCGCGATAAAAAACCAGAACCGTACGAAGTTAAATACATGAACCATACGGATTTCAGAAATTATGATATTAGAGACCAAATGGTGTATCATAGTATCAGACCAGGAAAAAAAGCACATGACCCAATAGTAACTAATTTAAGAGAGATCCACTATCAATCAGAAGGCAAAATTCAAATTAAACTGCAGTTTCAAGATGAGTTCACCGACCTACCTCAAAGAGTTTAAAAGAAGCCATGTATGATACATTTCTTTGATCAAAGACTTTATACAGATAGATTGAAAATATCAAACAAGAAATATGACCATTTGCAAGATCTGTAATCTACTCTAGCAGATGAGATACATAGTTTCTATGACAACCTGCCTTATGAGTAGGAAGACAAACATCCTTGTCATCCTTTTATACTGTTTCCTTTAGAATCTCTGTATTAGTTTCATTTAAATATTGTATAACAACAATGTTCAATAAAGCCCTGTTTGGTATATTGTTTGAATAATGAAACATCTATTTTCATTATAATAAACCTGAACACCAAGTATCATCATCAAACAGCTAAGTGCAATAACATGTATCAAACATATTTTTCACAAAAAAATATGGAATCTTTAAAAATGGTAACTAAGCATGTTTTAACCGTAAAAGTATTTATATACGGCCGCCGTAAAACAGTTTTTATCATTTTCTGTAAAACGACAAAATAGATGATACGTGGTATTACAATTAGGGTAACGATATATATATATATATATATATATATATATATATATATATACAGGGTGTCCGCAAAGTTGTGGTTTTCCTTTACACGACGTGTAGATCTTGAAAACATAAGCAATTTTTCTTAGTACCATATACACCAATGTCTTAAGGGAACCGAGATAAAGGGCTCTGCAACATCAAAAATATCTGAATACCGTCCTGTAGCCGCGACCCGCGACATCACCGAGTGGTACAAGGTCACTGGCTCAACCCGACGACAGAACTGGGTCGGGGTCAGTGTGTCAGATCAGTATGCAACCTTCAACCGACGGTTACGGTCACGCGTGTAGAGGTAATCGCGTAGACGAGAATCCATCAACAAGCACTAGAGACGTGGCTAGAGAAGTGCAAGTATCAAAAACTAAAGTGTGGCAAACGCTGCGTGAAGAGGGGCTGTATCCGTTTCAGGTCCAACGTGTACAAGCCCTTCAACCTGACGATTTTCCAGCAAGAGTGCGGTTTTGTGAGTGGTTGTTGCATCAACACGACAATAATCCGGACATTTTGAAGTGCATATTGGTGACAGACGAATCTACGTTCACCCGTAATGGGGTGAATAACTTTCGCAACACTCATGTTTGGTCAGTAGAAAATCCGCACGTTGTCCGTCGGGCACATTTTCAACAAACATTTTCGGTGAATGTTTGGGCTGGCATGGTGAACGGTATGCTCATTGGACCATTTATTCTCCCAAATCGATTGGACGGGATGCAATACCTAGACTTTTTACGCAACATTTTGCCTTCCTTGATAGAAGATGTGCCATTAAGTGTAAGACAATCAATGTGGTTTCTGCACGATGGTGCACCGCCCCATTTTAGACACGAGTTTTTGAATGAATTATTTCCGAATAGGTGGATCGGACGTAATGGACCCGTAGCGTGGCCTCCGCGATCTCCAGACTTAACACCATGTGATTTTTTTCTTTGGAGAGAAATGAAACGCTTAGTGTACAAAACTGAAGTGCATACGGTTGACGAACTTCGTCTCAGAATTGAACCAGCTGGTGCTTTCATTCGGGGGAGGGACTCCATTCTCAAAGCCTGCACCGATGCTTGGCTACGTCGTGCACGCACCTGTGTTTTTGAATCAAACGGCGATAACTTCGAACAATACCTATAAAGTACGTTTACCGAAAAACTGAGAACGCGGCAACGCCGTCATATTTGTTACTTCTGTTCGTGGTCTGCACCACCCCCTGCGTCTGCTCGGTAGCGCATCAGCTGATTTCATTTTCTGTTGGAGCGGTATGATTTCGGGCAGAGACGTACTTAGCCCTTCTCGTCAACTGGAGAGTGAGTAGTTTTTCCTTTATTTTTTTTACTTGGTCGCCCTCGTTTCACTACACATTACCTTTGTTATTTCAAGGGTAGTTGTTTCTGAAAAGGAAAGCCCCACTTTTGCGGACACCCTGTATATAACAAAAAGTAGGAAAATTTTCTCTTTATATATATATATACTAAGTGACATATAAATCCGAACACCCAGTTTAAATGGTTTTATTTTAATAAAATTTTGTATAAGTACTTGATGAAGCATAATAAGTAAATGATAAAAATTTCAAAATGATTGCACTGCTTTAAAGCCCTTTGACCTTTAATAATGTGTGGATGCACCCTGATGTGCTACGCATTCTCCAACGCGCCTAGGCATGCTTCTGATCAGGTGTTCAATGTCCTCCTGTGGTATCTCATTCCAGGCAACCACCAACTCCTTTCGAAGTGCTTCTAGAGTCTGAGGAGGACGTTGCAAATTGAGCAATCTCCTACCCATCATATCCCACGCGTGCTCAATTGGGGATAAGTCGGGAGATCTTGGTGGCCATGGTAACAATGTGACATCATTATGTTGAAAGAAGTCTATTGTGACTCATGCAACATGTGGTCGGGCATTATCTTGTTGGAAAGTTGGATCTGCCAGGGTGTCAAGATAGGGTAAAAGATGGGGTTCTAGAACTTCGTGGATATAACGCTGCGCGTTCATGTTACCTCTGATGAAGATTAAAGGTGACCTGGAACCATAAGCTATAGCACCCCAAACCATAACTCCAACAGTGTGATGAACATGTCTTTCAACAAAAAACTGTGGATTCCTCCTTTCACCACGTCGCCTTCTAACCCTGGCACGACCATCGTGCATGCCTAAACAAAATCGAGACTCGTCACTAAAGACAATGCTGTTCAATTCTTGATCCCAGAGTGACCGTTGTCTGCATCACCCAAGGCGATTACGTCGGTGTTCTCGAGTTAAAGGGAGGACCCAGTGTGGCCGGTATGAAAACAAGCCAAAACTTCTCATTCGTCGGTAAATACTTCGCATGCCAATAGGTCTTCCGTGTTCTGCAAACCATTCATTTGCAATGGACCTGGTAGTGGAGAAACGGTCCCTTAAGGTCAATAATCTTAGGCGGCGATCTTCACGGTCTGTTGTTCTACGGCGGCGTCCAGTGCCCCTTGCTCTTTGCGTACGGCCTTCTCGAAGCCATGCCTGAAAACACCTAACTACAGTGTCTACACTTCTTTGCACTCTAACTGCAATTGCCCGAAAAGAAAGTCCAGCTTCCCGAAGTCCCACTATACGGCCCCTATCAAACTCACTAAGTTGACGAAATCGTACAGGTCTCCGTACTCTAGGCATCGTAACCGATCGTAAAGGATGTCAAGAACCAAAATCCGCCAACGTTGATTCTTTACTGCGGCTGAAATATTCATTTTTAGAGCGTTAGTGAATTAAAAAAAAGCAGTATAAAAACCGAAATATCCAACTGATAAGGCTGAAAATGTTTTCACTTGTTATTTACAGTAAGATAAATACATTCACCAACTTTTATTAAAATAAAACCATTTAAACTGGGTGTTCGGATTTATATGTCACTTAGTATATATATATAGGTGAAAAATAAAGCTTCCGCCTTTAGTTGGAACAAAATTTAAGCAATGATGACTCAATATACTTTATTAGTCTCTGGCTTTCAATGGACTATGCCATCATCATCAGGAGCTGCAATAACATTAGGAAGAAATAGCAACTATTGTGCAAAATGATTTTAAATTACTTACAATTGTATGTGAGATTGTTAATAAATGTTATTAAAGGTTAAGTTGAGGGAAATATTTAGTAACCTGGTGAAAGCTGGATACATGGTACAATCGTTAAAATTAGTATAAATGAATGTAAAGGAATTTTGGAGGAAAAGAGTGGAATAGACTAAAAAAACAGATTCCATTTATGGTTGTGAAAAAAAACAAAATTTGGAGAGATGTGTAAGTGCTCCAACTTTTCGCAGTTTAGCAAATATGAGTAAATGACGCTCAGTTGATTTACATCTGTCTTCTTATGCATACAGTTGTTATTCATGAAAATGTGGGACACTTCCAGGAATAAACGTTTTGGTAGGTGTTTTTTTTATCGAGAATTTTGATACTTGTGTAGTTCATAGAGTGCCCTGTTGTATTGACATGAGATGCCAGAGCGCACCTCTCGGGATGAAGCCTAGAATCACTTTTGTGTGATGTAATCCTTCATTTTAGAGATCTGGAAGTCTGACCTATGTATATTTGGTTGCGATTATTACAATTGATGGAGTAAACTGTGTTGGTTAAGTCAAGCAACCGGACTCTGTCTTGCATCTTTGAAAAAATTCAGTTTATAGTGAGGACGGATTTGCAAGCAATTCGACAGTTCAAGGAGCTAAATAGGGTGATCAGCTTAGGGGTCAGTTCTTTGATATAGAGTAGAACAGCAAATCAGATCTGGCATTTGGGATGACGGTTATATTGTTATTGGAATTGGTGTTGTTGTTGGCAATTATATCAGTTCTATTATTAGGTGTTATGAGAATATTATTTGGATTAATAATACTCTCACAACATTTATGGGAAAATAATATTTTTTTACATTTTCGATTTGTGCATTACAAGTAATTAAGATGATCGTTTATATTCTGTTTTTAACACAGCAATAATTCCTAACTCCAAATAAACACAAAAAAACAGAATATTAATTTGTTTAATTTTCTAATATTATTTTTAACAAATTAAATTAATTATTTACAACTAAAATGCTATTGGATAGTTAGGACAAACATACAAAATCTAAAGTAGTTGCTCAAAATGTAAACCCAATTGTTAAATACACAATTCACATCTACGAATGATCGAATAAGGCCTTATTTCATCACATGCATTCCTGATTCTGTCTATTAGCATATCTCTTGTGGTTACGGGAGTCTGGTACACTTTTTCTTTTAGAAATCCCCACACAAAGAAATCTAATGGATTTAGGTCAGGAGATCGTGGAGGCCAGGCGACTGGTCCTCCACGGCCGATCCATCTTTCTGGATAATTTTCGTCCAGCCAGTTTCTAACTATTCTCGAATAATGAGCTGGACAACCATCAAGCTGGAACCAGGCCAATCTTCTTAAATCTAACATAACATCATCCCACATATTTGCGTGTTCAGTCTTTAAAAATTCCAAGAAGGTCGCAGCATTTAACCTTGCAGGCAAAAGGTAGGGTCCAAATAGTGGATTACGGTAGATCCACTAAATTCATGCTGAAAATTTCTTTCCCGAACTGCATGTGGATTTTCATGCGACCAAATATGTTGATTATGAAAATTTACCACTCCACGTCTAGTGAAGCATGACTCGTCGGTCCATAAAACGTTACTTAAAAACTCCCTATTATTATCAGTTCTATCAAGAATCCACTGACAAAATCTCTATCAAACTCACGCAGAATCATACGGGTAAATCTGCGCTGACGAACATTTATGTTTTGATCCCATTGGAGATTTCCAAAACAATTTTCAATTATTTGGCGATGCACTCTTACAA